TCTGAATTCCACTCCTTCCTACATCTTCTCTGCCCGTCATTTCAGGGTGGTTAACCTGTTTTATTTCCCAAAGGAAAGGGAGGCTCCCTCTCTATTCCAACGGCTGAATAAAAATCTGACCTGTGGAGACTGAGGGACTGCTGTGGTAAGTGAGTTTCCAGTGAAATAAATAGTTTGGTGAAGCCTTAGATACAAAGTCTGTCCTGGCGAAGTGTGCAGAACTTCCACATTAGAAGCGTGAACTCTAACACAACTTCACTCTGGGACCCGATTTCTAGGGCCCCTGGGCTGAGAGGTGAAAAATAAATGGGAATGAGAGGTAGTGCGGGACCATTATCAGCTACTGAGTACTGCAGAGGAAGCAGAGGAGCTTAATGTATGGGGCCCCAGTACCGAACAGATGACAGAAAGGACAATTCAAGAGATAAAGTGTACCATCTACCTAGCAATAGAAAACGACCTTCCCTGTGCAAAGAGCCAATGGAGTGCTCCTCATGATGGAGTCTTTGGGTTAACTGAGGCTTCACTGGGCATGGCTGAGGTTTAGCTGAGTTAGACTGGTCTCCATGGTATGGACTGAGTTCATTTCTGTTCCATGTGCCCCTTCTCACAAAGAAGCAAGCCACATCAGGCATGCCCCTTTAAAAGTTCTATTGGACTGTGGCACATCTACTCATAATGCAGTGACCAAAACTGAAATTTAACTGGGTAGAGATGTAGACTTTATCTAAGGAGACACTATGACTCACAGAATCAAATTCTGGGGCAAAGACCTTGTGTGTGTAGTCCTAACAAAGGGGTTGGGCAGAACTGTTGGGAGTATTATGTCATCCGCTACATGGAAGAATGTGCTAGAAGGTCTCAGAGGCTGGAAGGAAATTCCCACATCAGATCTCTCTTGACAGCTCCGCCATGATCCTTAGGTCACTAGCATCTTGGCTTGCCTCATAAAAACCCAGGAAGGGGGCGAAAATAAATACAGCCCACCTACCAGCGATTACAGCTATGCCCATGGGTCAGAAAGACTCACCTCCTTTTCTGGAATAGCCAGCACCTGAGGCAGTGAAGACAGAGACACTTCATCAACCACCTGTGGTGACTGATAAGTCCCCAGAATCACCAGACATCCAAAATGAATCTTCAGATGGGGAATCATTCCTAGGCCATACTCTGTAGATGTCCCAACCAAGTGTGCTGTGCGGCCTGGCAAGTCTTAACTTTTCAGCGTATATTGATCTTTTGAAATAAGATCTCACTATATAGCTGGGGCTGACCTTGAAGTCACAATATTTTCCCCCAGACTCTGAAGTTACAAGAGCTTGCTAACATACCTAGCCCATAAAACTCTTCCTTAGGTCAGACTTCAGCAGATAGATGATAGGTAGACCACCAACAGACAGGTAATTGTAAGATCCCTCAAGAAGAAAGGGTGGACAAAGTGCATTTCTAATTTTATTTTATGTGCATGAGTGGTTTTGGCCACATGTGGACCTAGTGTCTCTGAAGGTCAGAGGGTGTTTGGTTCCACAGAAATGGAGTTACAGATGCTTGTGAGCCACCATGTGGGTGCTGAGAACTGTAGCTGGTGGCTCCTATCCTCTGAGGCATCTCTCCAACCCCAAGGGCAACATACTTCTAAGGTCAAAGAAATGTCAACTACTTGATAAGACCTTGCCACTCTCACCCATCTCCTCCCTACACTCCTCTCTAATGCATACAGAACAATACTTTTTTGGCAGTACAGCTCATCACGGTTTACTGGGGCTGACCCTCTGGGTACCAGAACTAGAGCAAAAACCAAAAACAAACCAACAACAACAACAACAAAAAAAAAAAAAACTGAGTTCAACCTCCATTAGCTTGCAGGCTGAGGTTGCAGAAAGACTTCTGGCCCTCAGCAAGCCAGGCTCAGCGTCTGAGTGGCCTAAAAGTGGAGCTGCCGGATGATATTCAAAACGGTTAATAACGAAAAAGTTGTGGGCCCTTCCCAGTCAGAACCATGGCCAGCAGCACATCCTTCTCTGAATGCAAATGACCTCCATCTCTGCCAATACCAAAAAGCCTGCCAAGGTGGAGGCTAGGAGTCCTCTGGGAGAGCTGACATTGAGGGGTGAATGGGACGGCACCTGCCAGTATGACATGCGGCTTCCCTGCGTTCCAGGGAGTAGGCATTTCAGCCCGACACCCCGGGGGTCCTGCAGGGCACAAGCTACATTTGTCTTTCTGCCTGGGGCCATCACCAATTATCTGTGCTGTGAGGCAAGCTGGCCTCCTGCCAGAAGAGGAGGTGAAAGGATTTACAGAATCTTTCTCTGATCTAACTTATTAGAGAAGTTAGTCACCCCGTTCAGGAAGCACTGCACAGAGGTGAAGACGTCAGAATTCAACCCCCTGCCACGTGGGATGACTTCCGCAGAGCTCCTCAACCTCTCAGGGGCTCAGGCTCCTTGTCTTGCAAAGGGGAATCACCTCAGAAACCATCCAGTCAGGTCCTGATGGCCGTGAAGTAAGCTAGCAGTACAGCACCTGGCCCTTCAGCAGCCTGATGAGGTCAGCTCTCTGTCATGGTGATTATCCAGAGGGAGGGGTTACCAAGAAGGTCAGAAACCAGGGATCAAAACAGATGACTAGCAAAAGCCACAAAGTAAGCAGAGCTCAAAGGGTTCCACGGGCAGGGAACACACCTGTAAACTTTGTACTCCTGAGGCAGGTGGGAGTTTGAGGCCAGCCTAGGGTACACAGTGAGACCTGTCTCAAACACACACACACACACACACACATACACACACACACACACACACACACACACACCACAAATGGAGGGTGCTAGACAGATAGCTCAGTCAAGACACTGCTTGTCATGTCTTACCTGAATTCACTCCCCAGAACCTACACTTTATGTTTAAAAAAAAAAAAATACAGGGAGGAAAGGGAAAGGAGAGTGATGAGATTATATCATAACTTCAAATTTTTAATAAAAAAAAAATGAGCTACGAAAATTGAAAACAATGAGATCAAATCCAGGTATGGTGTCTCAGACTTGTGACCTGAGCTCTGAGGAGGTGGGAACAGCAGAGCCCTGCAGCACACTGGCCCTCCAGCCTGACCAAATCATCAGTTCCGACAAGAGACCCTGTCTCAAGAACACAGCTGGCAGTGGCTGGGGAAGACACCCAAGCTCGGCCTGTGACCTTCACGTGCCCATACAAGTGCACACACATGAATGCACACCTGCCTACCTGCACATAAAAGAACCCCACACATGTAGGTAGACCAAGAGAGGTTCTTTGTTTGCTTGTCATTAGTTTTCCAGGATACCCAAGGCTGTAGGAAGTAGGGGTAGCTGATAGCACCAAGGCCTTGCTGAAAGAACACATTGGCTGCCACTTCCAAGATGAAAGCAAAGCAAACAGGACCTCAGATGTGTCATAGGAGCACACCTGCCGAATGGTAGTCTTTTGGTTTTCCATGTGACCACAGATGTCACCAGCCTCTACAACGGCCATTCTTTGTGGGACTCCATCAGCTTCGTGGGAAACAGCCATAGTTTTTCATAGGGAGCACGCTGGCTCCCCTGCCCCTCTTCCTCGTCACAGGGGGTCTCTGTGAGGGACTCTCTGAGTAACCCAGGACGGAGGCTGCGGAGCCGGCAGAGAACCCACACAGTGGCTGCCTTCGTTAGGGTTTCTATTCCTCTGAAGAGACACCACGACTCTTAATAAGAAAAGCATTTAATTGGAGCCGGCTTGCTCTTTCACAGGGTTACTCCACTGTCGCCATGGCGAGAAGCGTGGAGGCACGCAGGCAGACACGGTGCTGGAGAGGGAGCTGAAAGCTCCACATCTGGATCGGCAGGCAGCAGGAAGAGAGGGTGAGCCACTGGGTCTGGCTTGAGCTTCTGAAACCCCAAAGCCCACCCTCGGGGGCACACATCCTCCAATAAGGCCACGCCTCCAATAATGAGGTGTGTGGGTCTTACGAGGGCCGTTTTCATCCAAACCACCACAGTGCCTCACAAACATCTGCAGTTCCAGGGGATCCAACTCCCCTTTCCGGCCTACCACGGGCACTGGGCACCCACGTAAAACACAGACACACGTACAGGCAAAACATCCATATACATAAAATAAAAACAAATAATTTAAAAAGAAAGAGAGAGGAACAAAGATGCCTCCACTCACCACATGAAGACTGCCAGCTGGCACAATGGTCACCTGACAAATGAGTCAGTGGGAAAGGCCAATGCTGCCCCACCCTTTCCATTGCTCTGACTTCTTGTCCCTAAGATCAAAAGAACCTGGCAATTTCTAGAAAGAAGTTCGTCATGAAAAAAGCAAGTTGGGGGAGGGGAGGGGCTAAGTTTTCTGCACTGGTCAGAAATCTCTTCAGTGATTGACATATCCAATATTTTTTATATCTTTTTATTTCAGCCCATTCACCAAAGCCAAGAACAGATTAAAACCATACCCTCTACTAAAAAAAATAAAACTGTTTAGAAAGGTTAACTCCATTGATTCCCAAGGAAATAGAAACATCTGGAAAATGTATTTAAAAATTGATTTAATGTTGAGCCATGTTAAATGTTTTAATTTCCAAGCAATGTGATACCCACCAAAACATCAATTAGTCGCAGCAATCAGGCAGGAATATTGGCTTCTGTTGAGAGATTCATTTATTTCAGCCCAGCTAAGTGTCGAAAGAGAAACCCAACGCCGCCTGGTGCTCCAGGGAAGGGGAATCAAGCCAGACTGGAAACGAGATCACGCCGTGGCTAAAAGGGTGTTCTCTCTTGCTCTCTCTCTCTCTCTCTCTTTCTCTCCCCCTCCCTCCCTCATCACTACAGCTTCTCTGTCTCCAAGCCAACATGGGATGGAAAAAAAGCACCCACTAGAGAGACTGGCTGGCTTAAGAATTTGCAAGATGGTTTTTAATAATTATTTTTCCAAGGCCCCAGGGTCTCCCTGCGCTCGCTGAGGCTCTTCAGGTAAAGGTCAGGCCACTCAGCATAGGGGCTTGGTCATCAGAAGCAGCAGAGGAGAGCCAAGCCAAAGAGCCTGGGAGGTGGACTCTCCTGAAAGGAAACACAAGGCAAGAAGGCCCATGAGGTAGCTAGAGACCACAGAGGGTGGGTGCAGCATGGCCCCCTCCCTGCGTTTCTCTCTCAGGAATGAGGCCTCTCACCTGCAGACCTGCATTCCTTCATCCCTTAAATGGGAGTGACAGAGGAACTTTGAACAAAATGAGACTGTGTGAGCATGCGCCTGAGCCACCTTAACCAAAGGAGTCGGGGGGGGGGGGGAAAGCTTGTACAAGATGCAAATGTCTGGGTGCTTTGCTGGGCATGCCAATTTAGAAACTCTTGGGGGAGGCCCGGGAATCTGAATTTAAGAATTGCTCCCAGGTACTTAAGAAACAAGAGCTGGAGAAAGGGTCCAGGGTCCTTAAAAAGTGTTCACCTAATGGCAGTCTTGGGGGGGGGGGCGGTTGGAGGGGTAAATGGAGGAAGGGAATGTAGGGTCTTGCCTTGCCCCCTTCTGACGATGATGTTTCAAGCGAAAACTGGTCCCTACCTCTCGGCAGAGGATTTGACTATGTCTCTTAACTTAAACGTGTACCTAGCACTGGGACAGACTGCACAGGTGCATCATTTGTAACAGAAAACATGGTAACCCAACTGAGAATTGAAGTGGGTCTGCTTAGGCTTAAGTCTCAGCCCTTTAACCAGCCATTGTTCTGCTCCCACAGAGGGGATGGGACGTTTCTGAGGGGCATAGCCAGATCCACAGACCCAAAATGCAGAGCGCAGGACAAGGGTACGGTAAGCCCTTTAAAAGTGCAAGGCTTCTGGAGACTCGAGTTGTTTGTGTGTGTCCAGAGTACGTAAACAAAACAAATGCACCAGGTCCTGACAACATGGCTTGTTCCTCTCCCTGGGGAGAGGAACGGAAAAGCTGGAGGCCAGAGACAAAAGGCAGCGGTTTATTGCGTAACGTTCAGGCCTTCTATATGAAAAACTATACTCTTTTTCCACCTTCTGTTTCACCACACAAGAGGCCCTATGAAGTCTACGTTTCAGTGAAAATTTGCAAACGATAAGTAAGTCTATCCAAGAACATGGCTCTTATTTGGAAGTGCCACTTGTGGCCACAGACATTGTTAGGTTCCCCCAATTCAACATCCTCAGTGGAAGGAGAGGCGTGAGCACGGGGGTTCTTAAGGAAGAGCCTGGGTGTTTCTCGGGGTTATCCCTCACTCAGGATAGACTCCGCCTCCATCATCTTCTCTCTCTGCCACACCGCCTGAGAGTCATGGCAGCACCGTGTCCTCTCTCCCCCTTCCACGACTGGATTTGTGAGGGCAAGGAAGATGCACTCGGCTTGCTCTAAACTGTCTGCCCAGAAGTACAGACCCACACCTAGCCAAAAGGTGGTGTCCACCCAGTTCAGGAGTCGGGAAGGTGTGGGAGAGTGAGGGGCTGAGGAAAGGAGTCAGCAAGAGTAAGAAGAGAAAGCCTTAGCACCAGGGGTCATGGCATCCACCCTACCCTCTCTCCCCCCTCCTTCCTTTTGCCCCTCCTTTTTCCTCCCTATCTTGCTTAGCCCTCAGTCGCCACCATCTGCCGCTGCTGATTGCCTCCCTGGCCTTGTGGCTTTGAGATCTTATTGACAAGGGGCATCACCTGCCCTTATCTATCCATAGTCTCAGTCCCTACATGGTAGGTATCAAAGAGATAGATACACAGTGGTTGATTAACACAGGACAGCAAGTAGGCAGATGAAAGCAGTCATTGAAATGAATTTAGTCCGGAGAGATTCCGATCCGGTGGATTCTGGGTCACACCTGGGGAATTCAAAGTCTTTTAAAGATCCCCAGGTAGCTTCAAAGATGCAAGAGCTGACACGGGCATTCAAAGGCAGCTTGGCTGGAACTTATCTTTGAGAGCAAATACTCAGTGTGTCCATCAAGTCTCCACCCCGGATCAGGGGAACCTCCCCACCTTGCAGGGTAGATCAAGGTTCCGAGAAGGGGAGTGGAGGTGGGTCTGAGGCAGGTGCCCCTGTGCTCACCTGTTGGAGACGCGGTGGAGGCTGGCCAGGTAGGGCTGGCACTCACAGCCTCATTCTGCCAGGAGTGAGTCTTGGCGCCATCTAGTGCCCTCTGGAGGCTCTGCAGCTGTGCCGGGCTGAGCTGCAGGCGCTGGGAGTGGGTCACCGAGGCAGCATTCTCAGGACCCAAGGAAGCGATCTGCTCCTTGGACAGCTCCTGCAGCCAGGAGCCGGGGGTGGAGGGGGCGAGAGGCGGGGTGGAAAGGGTGGGAGGCGGGGGTCAGTACATCCTCTCCGGATTTTCCTCGTTTATCCATCTGCTCAAAGCTTCACAACTTTGTCATACCCTTGCACCGTAAGCAAGCATTAAATAAAAACCCGAAAGAAACTATCTTTGAATCCTGTTCGATTTGTCCACCAACAGCAGCTGAACTCCAGGCCTCTTAAAAAAGAGAGTGTGGGAGATTTTTTTTTCCCCAAGTGTTACAGGGTATTAAGCCATTCTAAGTCCAGGCTGAGACTTTTGCCTGGAAGTAATTAGAAGCATTAAAGGGGTCTTGGCTTTCCACGTGAGTGCTGTTAATTACTTTGCACCAGAGGAAACACTGAAGAAGCGAGCTCTGACTGAATGCCAGCCTGAATCTGAGCACATACCAGGCGTGTGATCTTCCCAAGATCGCGCTCTCTGGGCACCTGCAAGGTGAGTTAGGACTACCAGAATACTCTGATGAATCCTGGTAGCTCTGAGGAGGGCAAGGGGCACTGATTTTTCTGTTAACGCTGCCATGGACATCAGAAGTGGAACACTCTGCTGGGCACACTGCAATTTGATTTTCAGGGCTGTGGACAGGATATTTCCTGAAGTCACATAGCTTCGAAAGATGGGGCTCAGTGGCTAGCTCCATCGAGACTAGGAAGAGATAGATAGCATGGCAGGAGAGCCTCTGACATCTCCTGACTGCTTTAAAGCCCCCCCCCCAAAAAAAAGCTAGGAATTCATGTTTCTGTTCCTTTATCCCTTTCTTTCCTATTGACTACTCACTTTGCTCCTGTCCAAATACATTCCTCCTGAAATTGAATTCTTCTGTTTACAGCCCTTCTCTGTATATTCCCCACCACTCCAGGACACAGCTCAGGCTCCTGAACATAGCAATGGCACCTTCAGGCTGGGAATCCTGCCTGCCTCTCCAGCCTCCCTGCAGATGCTCTTCTCTCTGGGCAGAACAAGGATCTGCATTCCCCCAGACTGAAGCAGCCCCTGGGCCCTTCCTTCTGTCTGGGACACCGCCACCTTCCCTTTGCTGATGCTGACTCACAACTGTCATTAGCCGAGTGTGTATTGCAAAAATTATCTATTTTTCCACTGCTGCTGACTTGTGACCCACAAGCTAGATTGAATCCCTAGGCCTCTAGCCGATTCAAATAGGCTACACACACACACACATACACACACACACACACACACACACACACACACACACACACACCCTTACACCCTTTTCTGTGTAGCCAGGGCTCTCCAGTTGAGCTCAGACCACACCCAGCCTACTTCAGCCAGGATATCACTTTCCTGGCCCCTGAAGGCACTATGCTGTAACCTCTTTTCCAGAGAATCTCCAGCCCCCAGGTATGCCTAGCCTGGAGCCATCGTGATGTAGTTGAGACAGAAATTTCAGGAATCAGAAACTGCCTGAGCAAAGATGATGCACCAGCTATACTCCGAACATGACCCTCACCGGGCCCTGTGCTTGAACACTTAGTGCTCAGCTGATAGCACTCGGCAGGTTGTGGAACCTTTGAGACACAGGGCCTAGCTGGGCAAGTAAGCCACCGCACCCACCACACCCTGAGCGGAAATAAAGCCCCTTCCTCAAGTAGCTTCTGTCAGTTTTACTTTGTTCGTCACAGCAACAGGACAAGTAACTAACGCAGCGGACTTGAGGCTATTGATTTCCCCCAAGTATCTGTGCAGGGTGCAGAAGTGTTGGAGGTGCCCAGCATCCCGGTGTGGTAGACAGGCTGTGTCCCCATGTTACCCCGAAAGCAACAGCACCAAAACTGAACCCAGAGTGGTGGCACAAACCTATAATCCTAGCACTCAGGAAGTTGAGACGGAGGGTGGTGTTGGAGGCCAGCCTGGGCTACCATACCAAGTTTAAGCAAAGTGAACAATATATTAAGTCGCTGTCTCCCCAGAAAAGGCTGGAGACATCCTCAGCCAGTATCCCAGCGCGGGGGAGACAGAGGCAGTTAAGTCCCTTGCTCATCAGCCAGTCGAAGCCCTCCGTTGAGCTCTAGACCAGCGAAGGATGCTGTCTGAAGAAGGGCATGGGGGTTGGGGTGTGGGGGAGCTGGGCAGTTAAGACCATTTGCTGCTCTTCCAAAGGACCCAGGTTCCATTCCTGACTCCCAGCACCCACATGGAGGCTCAAGCCAACCATAACTCCAGTCTCAGGGGATACAACGCCCTCTTCTGGCCTTGTTGGGCACTGCACATATGTGGTGCTCAGGTGTGCATGCAGGCAAAACACCCAAACATGTAAGATGAAAGTTTAAAAGAGAAAAGGTGAGGCTAGTAAGATAGCTCAGCAGGGTAAAGGCCCTGCTGCCAAGCCTGAAGACTAGGCTTGGAGAGACCAATAATCTCAAGTTGTTCTCTGGTCTCCACACATGCACTATGGCACACACACACACACACACACACACACATACACACAGGCATTAAATGATTAGTTTTAATTTTTTCAAATAAATAAAAAGGTTGACAACAACAAAGTAACAATACCCACGGTTGTCCTCTGGTCTCTGCATGCATGTACACACAAACATATACCTATACACATACAATAAAATGCCAAGGTCACCCCTATCTCATCAGAGCAGACCATTCTCTAAAACCCTGTGATCCCTGTCTGCAAATCCAAAGCCCATGAGCTATGAAAACGGACAGGTTTTTTTTCCCCAAAGTTTACTACAAACCAGCAAAAGTTGGACCTGAATAAAAAAGAGACTATTTATAGTGTGTTTGTTTAGTGTGACTGGTCACAGATTTCTTCCCAAAAAAATAATGTGTTTGCTTGTGACTGCTCCCTCAGACGTGCTAGAGGTGTGAAGACACACACCATGCATTGGGGTGACCTTTACAAAACCTGAAAGCTTCTGAGTCCTGAAACGCATCTGTCCCCGGGGCTTTTACACAGGGTTTATGAACCTGTCGTACCTCCAGAAGTGGAAAATCAGTACCATGGCTAAAAAGAATAATAAGATAATTTTTTAATTAGAAAAAAATTCTTAAAAAGCCACCTGACAAATAAATGTTCAATGTCCTTAGTCATCAGGGAAATGCAAATCAAAATGACTCTAAGAGTCTATTTTAGATCCATCAGAATGGCTAAGATCAAAAACTCAAATGACAGACAGCAAAGGCTGGCAAGGTTGTGGAGCAAGGGGAACCCTCCTTCATTGTTGGTGGGAGTGCAAGCTTGTACAACCACTTTGGAAATCAATCTGGCACTTTCTCAGAAAATTGAGAACAGCAATACCTCAAGACCCAGCTATACCACTCCTGGGCATATACCCAAAAGATGTTCCACCTAAGCACACTTGCTCAACTATGTTAATAGCAGCTTTATTCTTAATAGCCAGAATCTGAAAACAACTTAACCAAAGAACCAAAGAACGAAAAAAGAAAATGCGGTACATTTGCACAATGGAATACTACTCAGCAATTAAAAACAAGGATATCATGAGATTTGCAGGCAAATAGATGGAGCTAGAAAATATCATCCTGAGTGACGTAACCCAGACCCAGAAACGTGCATGGTATATATTCACTTATAAGTGGATATTAACCAGAAAGTACAGCATAGCCATCCTACAATCTAAAGAAGCTAAGTAGCAAGGAGGGCCTGCAAGGGGGATGCTGAAATTTCACTCAGAAGGGGAAATAAAATAGACATCTGAAGCCGATAGAGGGAGAGAACTGGGTGAGACAGGGAGGGGGGTAACGAAGGGTAGGGATCGGGACGGTGGGGGAAAATGGGGGGGCTAGGAGAGAGAACTGAAATGGGGGTGCAAAGTGTGAGGCTGGGGAGTCTATGATGGTGATCCTAGCCTAGAACTCCTAGCAGAGAGGTGTATGGAGCCAGAAGTGGTCGCCTCCTACAGCCAGGCAAGACTTCTAGTGGAGGGAGGGGGCCCTAACCCCCACGCAGAATCGTTGGCCCAGCCAATCAGTGACTGGCCCAACTTAAATCATATGCCGTGAGACAGAGCCCACCGCTGATACTACTAGTAATATTCCGCTATTCCTGGAGAGAGGAGGCTAGCGTAACAGTCACTTGAGTGGCTTCACGCAGCCGCTGGTGAAAACAGACACACAGCCAAACATCAGGCAGAGCTCAGTGAGTCTTATGGAAGAGGTGGAACAAGGATTGAAAGAGCCAGAGAGGTCAATAAAACAGACAAAGTCAACTAACCTGGACCCATAGGGGCTCCCAGAAACTGAACCACCAACCAGAGAGCATCCATGGGATGGTTCTAGCCATGCCTTCCCCACCCCCCAACATATGTAACAGTTGTACAGCTTCATCCTCATGTGGGACCCCTAACAGCAGGAGCAGGGACTGTCTCTGACTCTGTTGCCAGCTTTTGGATCCCTTTCTCCTAACTGGACAGCCTTGTCTAGCCTCAATAGAAGAAGATGGTCCCAGTCTTGCTTGATATGCCGAGATGGGTTGGTACCCATGGGAAGTCTCCCCTTCTCTGAGAAGAAAGGTGGGGCATGGTGAAAGAGGAGGACAGAGAGAGGGACTGAGAGGGAAGGAAGGAGGGGAACTTGTTACCAGGATGTAAAATTAATTAATTAACTAATTAAAGACAAACAAACAAATAAATCAATGCAGCTACTTTTTTAAAAGCCACCTGAGTGCTCGCTTTGGCAGTACATATACTAAAAAAGCCATCTGAAATTATCCTGTGGGCATTCGCTGCTCGCACACAGATCTTCTCTGGCCCTAAAAGCAAAGGGCTGGCTGGAAGGCCAAGAAGCCAAGCCTGTCGTCTATTTGCCTGCATGATCTGAAGTGAGGTTGCTCCCTGAAGAAATGAGCACCTACTTTGAATGTCTCACCGGGCAGGCATCTTATGGCTGACGGCTGGAAATGTGGCATTAGTTCCTTGTTTAGCATTCGGAGCTCTGCCTTAGTTAATCCAGCTAAGGAGAGAAAGAATCACACGTGTTTAGCTCAAGCTGCCGGAACTCTACCGAGTTGTTAATGGTTCAGCATAATGTGCAGAGCAGTGAGTCCCAGGAAAGCACTGTTCCTTACCTCACCAGAAAGCCAAAGAGGGAATCCAGTTCCTTAATCAACTTGGGAAAATATGTGGGTCATATTAGCCCTGATTGGCCTCCTACAGTGGAGTGTATACCCACAAGGAGGTTCATTTACACACTTTAAGACTGGGTATAAATCTATTTAGGGGCCAATTAAATCACATTCTAGACCAGCGTTTTTGAAACCACAGTGTGCATAAGAACCCCTGGGAGGGCCCATTTAAAATGCAAGCTTACGAACACAGTCCCTTGCAACTTAAGTCTTGACGTCCAGGTTCCCCAAGAACCCCTTCAGCTTGGCTTCCCGTGACCAAGGATTATTACTTTGTTCTGTTATGTTTTACTTTAGTCCCAATTTTAAATTCAAAAAGAGAGAATGTGCCCAGAGACCTCTTACCTGCAATGGTCCCAAGCTCCTGCAAGACAGAGCTGGTCCACTCTGTGGGTCTCCCAAATACAACTTCCGCTTTCTTCTTAAACCCAGCCAAGACAGGGCTGCTGCAGAGCAGTGTCCCAATTCTGGCTACCACTGCCCTAGTTAGAGAGGAGGAACCTGGTGAGTCTGGCTGACTCTCTAGCTATCGAGCAGTGCACAAAAGATAAATAATCTCAGCACCTAGACAGGAGCCAGAGAATCCGTTGCCTACTTTAGCCTGGAAAGGGACAAAGATTAGAAAGTGGGAAGCATCTGTACAGATGAGTAGATGGTTTGATGGGCAGATGGATAAGTAGACGGATGGGTAAATGGATAGATGGGTGGATGATGGGTGTGTGGATAGATAGATGAATGGGGAGAAGGCTAGGCAGAGAGATGAATAGGAGATGGGTGGATGAATGGAGGAATGCATGTATGCACAGATCATGGAGGAGTGGGGATAGAGGTGACAAGGCGCGTGAATGGATGGGTAAATTGATGGAGGGATGAATGGATGAAATGGTGAATGTGTGAATAAATGGGACATTTGCCACTTTGCAGACAGGTGTTTTGGTTACCTGAATTCTGATGTCTTTATGAGTGGTATTTCAGTGGTGTCCATGGCACATAGAATAGGGCCAAGCCCAACCAAATGGAAGCTTTTCAGATCCTGGATACGGTAGCCTGAATCTTCAAGGAATGACTGCAAAATGGATTTAGCCTAGTAAGAAGAAGAAGAAGAAGAAGAAGAAGAAGAAGAAGAAGAAGAAGAAGGAGAAATATATGTTAGTATATATGTTAGTTTCTTTCCTCTGGAAACCATTATGACTTCCAGGTGGCTTGACCATTCAAGCTCTTAAGCATCCAGAGCTGGGTATTTCTGGCACCTGTCTCCACAACTCTCCAGAAAACCTCTTAAGCCCTGCCTCCCTGATTCTCCTCAAGCCTCTCCTCCATAGGAAACGTGCTTCTGTATTTCCAACTATTTAAACCCAGCTATCCTCTGTGTTTTAACCCAATTAAAATGTCATTTCTGCATCAAAAGCTCAAGCTAGAATGAATTTTCTTTTCTCTCTTTTCTACAGAAGTATATCTTTCCTTCGATCTTTAGTTTCAAAGAATATAAATGATTTTGGTGCTAAAAAGAAATTTTACACAGGGGTGTCTCTAATGAAGTTTGTCTGATTGCAGGGTCTCACATAATTCCAGCAGAGAAGCTATTCAAATCTCATGACTAGTCCGTTGGAAAACCACTCTCCCCCATGTGGTTTAGCTGGAGCCAACTGCATCACAGACTCCACAGGCCTTGTTCTATGCCAATCATGTCATTTCTCTGTCTGGCCACAGTGACTGGAAATAGTATGGGCTTTCAAAACCTCAAAGTCCACCCCCAGTGACATACCTACTTCAACAAGGCCACACCTCCTAATCCTTCCCCTACAGTTCTACCAACAGGGGACCAAGCATTTTGGATTAGGCGTGTGTTGGCTAGATGAATCAGAAGAGCTTTTGTTTTTCTTCTTGAACTCAGAAAGAAACACATGGGGATCCTTGGGAGGCTATACACAGATATCTTCTAGAACCCATGACACTGAGAAGGCCTCCCTACCTCAGAAGGAAGCAAATGCAAAAGAAAGCTGAGTCCCTCAATATGGAAAAGGCTGGATTACCAGCAACAGTGCGGAAGCTCCTGGATGAAGGTGTGCCTGCACTCGGAACTTGAACTTTTCTATGATGAGCAAGGTGGTCATCTGAGTGAAAATGGTTCCCACGGGTTCATTCGATTGAACGCTTGGTCCCAGTTGATAGAACTGTTTGGGGAGGGTTAGGAGGTGTGGCCTTGTTGAAGTAGGTGTGTCACTGGGGGTGGACTTTGAGATTTTGAAAGCCCACCATTTCCATTTAGCACCATACCCTACTCCTTCCTTTGTGCTTGTGGACCAGATGTAAGCTCTCAGCTAGTGCTCCAGGGCCTTGCCTGCCTGACTATTGCCATGCTCCCCACCATGACTGTTTTGGGCTCACCCTCTGAAGCTGTGAGCCCCTACATTAAACACTTTCCTTTATGAGTTGCCTTGGTCATGGTGTTTTGTCATGGTAATAGAACAGTAGCTAAAACAAACATCAACAAATTTCTTTCTTCACTCAGGTTGGTTTGTGTTGGGTTTGTTGCTGCTTATAAATAAATGGGCCCTGATTCACTTGATTTTCCTACACTGGACCTGAAAAGAATCCAAGCTGATTCTTTGGGACTGAGCTACATAATGAAGTGTGGATGCTTCTGTACTGATAAGATGCTTCGAAGCAGATAAGACTGACGACAAGAGGTCAGAAGACAAAGATAAGGAAAAGGCATCCAAGCATGAACATCCAGCGTTACAGTGGGAGCACAGGTCATGGGACACAGACAACCTCCTCTCTCCCTTTATGTCAGCCATCTGCATCACACAACTCAATGGTTAGATAGAATGCCGAGAAAAATGCCAAGAAATACTAAAATGCTGCAGTGGTGTTCCACTTTCCACGTGGCTGCTGCTGTCCCCCCCCATGTCTATTTAATGTCCACACTCACAGAGACAGCTATGTCCCTGGGCTTCCTCACCTCAAACAGCACCCCCTCTCACTATTCTTATGAGCACCCCATCCACCTTCTGTCTGTATCACTTATCACAATTTTTCAAAAACTTCCCCTTGATCACTCTTCTGTCCATCTCACTGGTAGATCCCCAAAGGATCATGCTTGGCTTGTCACTGTGTTCCAAGTGTCATGCATAAAGTCAGCTATATAATTTATGATAAATTGAGGGAATAAATGACCATCAGAGTGAGCGAGCCGTAGAAATCATGGAAAAACACATGCATCTCGGAAAAGGCATGGTTTCGGTGCCTTCACTAGACAAACTTGTGAAATGACATGTTCATTAAGTCAAACATTTGATTCCCCCATTGGTGGCACTGGTTTGGAAGGTTGTGGAAACTCTGGAAGGTGAGGCTTTAGAAGAAATAAGACTACTGTGACTCACCTTTAAAGATTCTACCCGGTCCCCAGTGCCTTCGTTATTCTGTGCATCCACTCCACCAGGAAGTGAAGCACCCTCCTCCACCACCGTGACCTTCTGCCCGAGCACACGAAGCCATGGGGCCCTATGAAGCCGTGAATGAAATAAATCTTTCCTCTCTTAAGTTATTTGTGTTGGGTGCTTTGCTACACAGCAACAAGAAAAGGACAGACTGGTCGCTGAGGAGTTGCACTCAATGGTTACATAGCTCACAGCTGCTCTAGATAAGTCCAGAACACTGGCTTCAGCTCACATGCTCGGTAACACGCATGCTGAGTAGAGAAGCTGGCCTGCTGAGCACTCGGCTGGCTTTTGCAGCAGCATCTGGACAGCTTTACCCACACTGCCTCAGCTAGTCATCACCACAGCCCTATTAGCCAAATGTTAATATTGTTCCTCTTTCTCCAAAAACCCACTGAGGTATGAAAAGGTTGAAGCCATATTAGTCTGCTACTCAACTAATAATTCTATGTTGAAAAACCAGACAGAGGCAGGAGGCATGGTTCGTAGGACCTGTTACGCAAGTGTGAAGATGAACCCACATTAGCGCCGGATCAGCGTGGAAGCCCACCTGTAACTCTGGTCCTCTGATGCCAGAGACAGGGATCCCCAGAGCAAGCTGCCTATCTAGACCAGTCAAATCCGTGGGGTCTGGGTTCAACTGAAAGACCCCGAATAAACTGGGGAGAGAGTGAGAAAGACCCCGAGTGTCACCCTGGGGCATACACAAACACGAAATGTTAAAACCTGCGCAGTGAAACACCACAGTCGTCCTAGCCAGTGAAGATGTTTGCCTCTGAAGGGGGAAAACAATGGAGATTCAACAGCACCCGATATTGCCATATAGTCGACACTAGGAAGGCCCCACTCTGCCTGGCTTCTGAGATCAGACAAGACCGGCTGGTTCACAGCAGTATGGCCTTGGACAGGATTTTCCTTATGAAGTCAGGTTTTACTAGTTAACTTGTGGTAATTTGTGCTCCTCAAAAAATATCATGGATGCTCATTTTAAAAGTGAAAGTGCAAAATTACAATTCAAATAAAACTGCTTTGAAGATGTGGTATCAAATTGTCCTTGCACCTGGAACCCGGAAAATGCAAGCTCAGCCTGCAAGGTCATAAGTCAAAATATATTTCCTTGGAATGTCTGGGCCAGTGTTTAGGTAATGATTCTGAGACAATTAACACCAATACTTGTAGGCAATATTAACCACTGAAAACTGAGTAGCTGTAAGATTTCAGTCTCTCTGTTCATCCCTCTGGCTTCTATAATAGATTTCCCCCCCTTACATTAGATTTTAAGCTGCTATCTGCTAATGTAGTTCCTGCAGGTCTGACTATCAATCTAGAAACATGCATTTAAAGGTTTGATTGGAGGCTGAAGTTGAAGAACTGACTGCAAATGATATATGCAAATGTTACATTTTCATATCCTTTTCAAACATACTGATATATCTCGCTGCCATCCGCGGGAATTAAAACTGGCGCACGGGGAAGGAGATGCTCTAGCTTCTAAGTTAGATCTATTTTTCGGTTTATTCCAGGCTGCAAATAAAATCATTTTAATATCAGAAATGGAAGGTGGCACTTCACAAACTAGTCAAAACCAGTTTTAGAGTCAGAGAACCACGGGACTACAGAGTGTTGGCGAAAGGAACTTCAGTTTACTGGGTTTAATCCTTTTCATCCTTCAAACAAAGAAATGAACTCAGAGAAAGGGAAGTGATTGTGGAGAAAGTGAGTCACTGGGAAGTGAGCCTTCACGTTTATAGCCTGGCTTAACTTCCTGTTCACTTCCTGCTTCCTGCCTGCCCATTCAGTGTTGACCAGCTGGCTTCCTGCTCATGAAACCTTGCTTTCCTTGCTTGAAGACACACCTTCCCCACTGGAATGGAATATGTCCCCTCAGACTGTGAGCTAGAATAAACCCTTCCCTCTGACATTGCTCCCTGTCAGGTGTTCTGTCATAATAGTGAAAAAGAGTAACTAATACAACGATTAAGTTTTACTGACCTTTATATATTATTGTTCAACAATAATATATTACATATTATTATAAAACATATAATATTATATATATATATGTGTGTGTGTGTATTTTTTGCTTTGAAGATATGGTATTAAATTGTCCTTACACCTAGAACCCAGAAAATGCAAGCTCAGCCTGCAAGGTAATAAGTTAAAATATATTCCCTTAAATGTCCAGACTAGAATATACATGATTATTCTGGGACAATTAATACCAATATTTGTAGGCAATGCTCCTGCTCCAGGCAAGGCAATCCACACCATACTTTACTTGAAAGATGCCACTCAGAATCATGGGACATCACCATTTTGATTACAAAAACCTCATGAGAGAAGAGCCCACACATTGGCTTTGCCTGCTCAACACCCATCCCCCCTTAGTTTAATAATACCACTACTTTTCCTTTTGCCAACTACTCTGCATTAGTTTCATCTTATTGCTATTACAGATTACCACCTGGTGGTAAAACATATGTATTCACTCATAGTTCTGGAGGCTTTAAGTCCTAAAATGAATCGGCAGGGTGTGTTCCATTTAAGAGCTTTAGAGAGACTCCATTTCCTTGGGGTTAGCTCTTTCCTTAATTCATGGCCACCTCTTCCATCTTCAGAACCATCACCCTAGCACCTTAAAGCCCCTGTCTCTTACTGCTTTCATTGTTGAGTCCCCTTCTATGGTTATGGCTTCCTGGCTCTCTCTTACAAGGTTCCTTATGATCACACTGGACCCGTCAGGATCATTTCATATCTCAAAATCTTTAAAAGTCTTTTTGTACATGTTTGAGTATGTGCTGGGTGTATGTGTTGTACCATAGGTGTGCCAGTACCTGTGCATGAGGGCATCAGATCCCCTGAAACTGGAGTAAGGCTCACAGTTGTGAGCCGTACATTGTGAACTCCGGGAATGGGACCTAGGTCCTCTGCAAGAGCAGCAAATGTTCTGAACCACTGAACCATCTGTCCAGCGTCCATCTCAAGATCTTTAAGTGACTTTCCTCTGTAAAGCCCCTTTCTGCAATGCAGATTGTATCTATGGGCTTTTAGAAACTCTGATTGAAGAGCTCTGTCTTCCACATACCCTCCCCTACTGTCAGATCACCAGGTGGCCATAAAGAATTCCACCCACAGTAGCAGGATAACCAACCCACGTATTCCACTCCACAGAGGAATGACTGCTCAGAGCTGAACAATACATGAGCAGAGTTAACAATGGGACTTTCTGATATAATAAATGAAAGAAGAGAGACATTTTGATGGGCTGCTAGTTAGGCAGAGTGTGTGTGTACTTAATGCTGAGAATAACCACTGAGGGATAGCTAGCCAAGAATGAAGCTAACATGGAGGCAATTGCAACTAGATATCCCAAATGCCTCACCCAATCAAAACTAGAATTTAGGAGGGTGTTTTGAAACCACAGATCAACAACCAAGCAAATTTTTCAGCCCATCATAAACAACTAGAAAACTGAACAAAATATAGAAAGCAATGGCATTAAAATATTGAACAACCAGGGATCATGAAACAAGGTTAAAAAAAAAAAGTGAGCCCTAAAATTGTTCTTTAGAGGCGCTTTCTACATCATAAGTCAGGAAAGACCAATGGAGCCTAATGGTCTAGCTGTGTTGAAGACATAGATCTGAGGTCAAAAAAGCAAACCTAGCAAGCACACTCCCCATCAGTTCAAATCTCAGCACTTACCAAGTAGCAACCCACTTCTCTTGACCTCCAGAAGATGAGAGTGTCTTGCCATTCATTTATTCAATACATATTTATTATGTGATGAAACATGCATGTGTAACCATATATTTTTAAAGAAAAAAAATATGTGCTAGTCATCTTTTATGGATACAATTTCTGTGCCCAGGATCTAGCCTAAGCCAGTATAAATATCACAGATAGTCCCCAGACAGATGAAATCAAACTCTTAGAATGTTTTCTTCCCATTAGAACAGCCTCAAAGAACTGACAATCTGGATTTTTCTATAAATAATTATACAAAAGGATGAGAGAGAAGACCAAGTTCAGGAAGGCCAAAGAACCTCTCACTTCAGGGGCAAGGAAAGAGGAAGAAATTCTGTGGTGAGAGTTCTAGAAATCAGCAAAGATGTCTTTCTGAGCACTGAGTCCTGATCTCCACATGCCTGGATGTCAGGAATGAAACCACACAGAGAGTAAGAATCAGGAGATGGCAGCAAGCTACGCAGTTCTTAAGGTTCATGTGGAGTTGGAAAGAAGCTTTCTCTCCCACCAGCCAGAATGAAGAAACCGTAAAATAAATGGAAAATAGGAATATTCCATAGAAGAGTCAGAAGGAAGTATGTTAGCCACAAAATAAAGATTACTCCACCCCAAGAAAGCTCAGAAGAATGCAACAAAAAGATAAAAATTACTAGCAAACACTTACATATAGTTCAGAGCAAAGCAAAGCCTAGTATTCTTTAAAGGCATATGATTAATATTTATTTATTAGTTATTTATTGGAATTTTTTTGAGACAGGATTTTTCTGTGTAGCCTTGGCTGTCCTGGAACTCAGAGATCTCTCCCTCCCAATTGCTGGGATTAATGGCATGCACCACCACCATCCAGAACCTAAATCAAACTTTTAATGATGTGACATAATGCCCATCAATTAGACAACATTACTAAGTGTCATTGTTTCCCTGCCTTTGTCTCAGAGCAAGTGAAAAATTACTAGGCTTTTAAATAAGCATAACCCCTAATTAGGAGAAAAATCAATCCATAGATACATCCTGGGAGGAACGGGAGAGATGGCTCACTGGTTGAGAGCACTGGCTGCTCCTCCAGAGGACCAGAGTTCAATTATGGGCACACACATCAGACAGTTCATAACCACCTGTAACTCCAGCACAGGGGAACTGGTGTCCTCTTCTTCCCTCCAAGGATACCTTCTCGCACATAACAGACAAACACATACATAAAATTTTAACAACCAAAATAAACCTAAAGGAAGGAAGGAAGGAAGGAAGGAAGGAAGGAAGGAAGGAAGGAAGGAAGGAAGGAAGGAAGGAAGGAAAGAAGGAAAGAAGGAAAGAAGGAAAGAGAAAGAGAGAAAGGCTGAAAAATGACAACAATGATGGAAATATTAGGAAGGATATAAGAGAAGCTATTCTAAGTGCTATATATTTATTCAGGGATATAAAGTCAAAACATAATCAATTAAGGGAATTAGAATCTTAAAAAAAAAAAAAAACAGGAACAACTACCCACCTGTCCTGGGGTCCATTCTGTCTGCTGGCCCAGGGATGCTACAGTGTCTAAGGAGCTGAGGTCCAACTGCTCCAACTCACTCTCATTAAGAGCCAAAGCAATGTGCCCCAGGGAGACAATGTAGTGTTCCTTCCAGTGGGAGGGCAAGTCCCAAACCTTTATGTGGGAGAAAAACAGACCAGGCCAAACGTCAGTGACCGCACCTGCTGTGATCTATACTTTATATCCTCCCAAAACCCATCACTGAGACCAAATCCCCAGTGTGGTGGTATTAGAAAATGGTTCCACCCATATAGATGGAATCCCTGCCCACTTGCACTGTATTAGCACGAGATGCTGTAGGAAACCATCACCTAAGAAAAATTCACACTCGCCAGACACTGAATCTGTCAGTGCCTTGATCGTGGACTTCCTAGTTCCCAGAGCTGTTAGAAATACATTTCTGTTGTTCACAGGTTAAGCAGTATAAGGTCTTTTATAGAAGTTTGCTCACAGAGTGAATCTGTCTGTCTGTCTGTCTCTCTCTCTCTCTCTCTCTCTCTCTGTCTCTCTCTCTCTCACACACACAAAACCTGCTGTACCAATTTGTGCCAAAATCCTTACAGAGGTTGATAGTCTTTCACTGGGGAAGGAGGGGTATTGTTCCACTTCTGGGAAGTTAGCCCAGGAAAATTATGAGACGAGTGCTCAAAGCCATATGTTCAAACGTGTACAAAGGCTTATTTAGGGTTTGAACACGAAGCATTCCCCACAAAAGCTCATGTGTTGAGGGCTTGGTTTCTGGCTGGTGATTGCTACTAAGATGTGGTTGGGCCATGGGGACAATAACCTCATTGAGAGATGAATCCATTGATGAGTTCACAGATAAATGGACTATTAGGATGTGTGGACTAGCTGGAAGAAAAAAAATTGGGTGGGCACAGCCTTTGAAGGATGCTGAGAGCCCTTGTCTGTCTGTCTGTCTGTCTGTCTGTCATCATCACTCCCTTCCCCCGGCTGCCATGAGTGAGCACCTACGCTTCATCATGCCCTCTCTAACATGGTATTCTGTTTTACCTCAGACACAAACCAAGAGCCAGCTGGCTGTGGACCAAAGCCTCTGAAACCATGAGCCAAGATAAACCTTTCTCCCTTTTAAGTTGTCTTTGCCTAGATACTTTGTCACAGCAATGGAAAGCTGGCTGGCATGGGGCATTTATTAAAAAAAAAAAAAAAAAAAAAAAAAAACTCAAAAGAATTCAAAGCTTAAGACTAGCTAAATAAAGACCAGTCACAAAACACTGATGTATATTTATCTTTCTGATACGGAAAAACACATTGCTTGTGGAAGACAAGTTACTGAATAATGAGTGCTATGTCGTTTTTTTGTAACTGATAATGTGAACCGAGATAACTTGTATCTGCATGTTCTGAGAGCTGCAGACACAACAACCTGTACAGATATTTAAGTTATAAGTCCTAACAGTAGCAAAATGACAGTTATGAAGTAGCAGTAAAGAAATTTTTGGTTGGGGGTCACCACAGCAAGAGGAAATGTGTTAAAGGGGAGCAGCGTTAGGAAGGTTGAGAGCCACTGTTACAAAGAGAAGCAGGGCCTCTAACTTGAACGCAGAGCTCACTGGTCTGGCTTGCTGGGCTAAGCCAGCTTGCTCCAGGCATCCCCCATTTCTGCTTCCCAAGGGCTGGGACCATGCTGGGCCCCCGACTCCTCCTGCTTTCACCAATTTTAAATTTTGGTCCTCACGCTTTCAAGGAAAGTGCTTTAACCACCGAGCCATCTCTCCAGCCCCTCAAAGGGAACTTTTTAAAAATGACAAGCTACTTCCAAACTACCTTCACACCCTTTTCCTGCTTTAGGGTGAATCTGTACCAGCTGCTGGGGAGGCCAGCTGTGGACAGCTGTTGGGGTTCTTCCAAGGGGAGGAAACAAAGGTAGCGTTCCTTCAAGCAGTTTAGGCCAGAATACGCACAGAACTTGGTTGGCAGAGATGCACATCATCTGTGCTGTGCTGTGCTAGGACGGAAGTACTAACAGCTTGCCCATTTCTGAGCTCAGGAAATCATGGCCACACTACTAAATTTCAATAAAATGGTATAGGTTGCAGCGCCTCAAGGGGTGCACACCTACAGGGAGGCTAAGGCTGGATACTGGCACTTTGTTTCCGTCGAGCTTTCCCAGGAGGCTTACCTGGATTGCCTTCTCCTTCAGGGCCCTCAGCTGAGGCCAGCTGAAACCCTTCACAGCTCCCAGCAATTCCACATTCCTAACGAAAGTGTCCTCCTCCATGCAGAGAAGGACCTCAGGGTCCCAGCAGGCATTGGCTTCGGCCAACTTGAAGATATCATCTGAAGAGGGAGCCACAACTCCATGGCAACCTGAGGAGCGCACACACAAGAGATGGATGGGAGGGAGTGATAGAGGAAAGGGAACAGTGGAAAGTATTAGCTGCCCCCTTTCATCACAGTCTTCACTAGTCAGACCCATCCTCAAGAGGCGGGGTTGTGGAAAAGCTAATAGCGGGGGAACTCAGAGCTCCCACCTCTGCCGTTTTGTGGTAAGGACGTGTTTTTATGCATCCACCAAGAGGCTTCACCAAATGGCAACTGAGCAGGTTACAGGTATATGCCTGTAAATCCTAGTGCTGGGAGAGCAGAGTCAGAAGCATCCCTGGGGCTTGCTGACCAAACCTGTGAGGTTCAGGGTCACTGAGAGAACCAAATGTCTACCCTTCCTTATAGGACTCAGAGTCCAGTGTGCAATTCCAGCCAAGTCCAATGTGAGGAAACAGAGAGTTTATTGGGCTTATGGGGTGACCCTAAAGCAATCACACCACAATCAAGTCTCACCCTGAATAAAAGAGTAAGCAGCATCCTTCTGCCCCTCATGGTTACTGCCGACCCTGATTAATTCTGCTCTCCTCGTGCCGGGTAAGAGTCTGTATTTACCAGGCAGCATTATAGAAATGCTGACACACCTGGTAGTCCTGGTACTCAGGAGACTGAGGCAGGAGGATTCAAAGCTCAAATCCAACTAGGGTTACACAGCCAGACCCAGTCTCAAAAGCAGGAGACAAGGGGTGCTTTCTGGTAATTTCCCACCTGCCAACCCCTTTGGAGACAGCGGAGGTTTAAATGCATAAATGACCCCTGAAGTCCAGCGTTCCCATCACCCACTTTAGAGGTGAACAGCTAGGCATGATGGCTCTCCTGTGGCCCCAGCACTAGAGAGGCTGATGCAGGTGGAATAAGAATCTCAGGTTTCCTGGACTACACAGTGAGTTGCAAGCCACCAGGCTACAGAGAAACCCTGACTGTTAAAAAAGAAGAAGTGGATTACTTGGTTTATTGCTTTTAAGCTTGTTTAGTTCTTTATATATATTGGATATGAGTCCTCTGTCAGATAAAGGGTTGGTGATGATTCTTTTCCAATCTGTAGGCAGTCGCTTTGTTTTGATGACGGTGTCCTTTGCTTTACAGAAGCTTTTCAATTTCATGAGGTCCCATTTATTGATTGTTGCTCTTAGAGCCTGTGCTGTTGGTGTTCTGTTCAGGAAGTTTTCTCCTGTACCAATGAGTTCTAGGGTATTCCCCACTTTTTTTTCTAGCCGATTTAATGTGTCTGGTTTTATGTTGAAGTCTTTGATCCACTTGGACTTCAGTTTTGTGCAGGGTGATAAGTATGGATCTATTTTCATTTTTCTACATGTAGACATCCAGTTGGACCAGCACCATTTGTTGAAGATGCTATCTTTTTTCCAAAAGCAATAAACCAAGTAATCCACTTAAAAAATGGGGAACAGAGCTAAAGAGAGAATTCTCTGTAGAGGAATATCGAATGGCAGAGAAGCACTTAAAGAAATGCTCAACCTCATTAGCCATTAGGGAAATGCAAATCAAAACAACCCTGAGATTTCACCTTACACTCATCAGAATGGCCAAGATCAAAAACTCAAGGGACAACATGCTGGAGAGGTTGTGGAGAAAGGGGAACCCTTCTCCACTGCTGGTGGGAATGTAAACTGGTACAACCACTCTGGAAATCAATCTGACGCTTTCTCAGACAACTAGGAATAGCACTTCCTCAAGATCCAGCCATACCACGCCTAGGCATATACCCAAAAGAGGTGCAAGTACACAAAAAGGACATTTGCTCAACCATGTTTGTAGCAGCTTTATTTGTAATAGCCAGAAGCTGGAAACAACTCAGATGCCCCTCAACTGAAGAATGGATGCAGAAACTGTGGTACATCTATACAATGGAGTATTACTCAGCAATAAAAAATAAGGAAATCATGAAATTTGCAGGTAAATGGTAGGACCTGGAAAGGATCATCCTGAGTGAGTTGTCCCAGAAGCAAAAAGACACGCATGGTATATATCACTCATATAAACATACAACATAGAATAAACCCAGTAAAATCTGCACATCTAAACAAACTAAGCAAAAGAGAGGACCCTAACTAAAATGTTCAATCCCCATCCTGAAAGGCAAAGAGGATGGACATCAGAAGAAAAAGAAAATAGGAAACAACCTCGGAACCTGCTACAGAGGGCCTCTGAAAGCCAGAAGAAAACAGGAAACAACCTTGAAACCTGCCACAGAGGGCCTCTGAAAGCTTCTGCAGTATAGACTGTCAAAGCAGATGCTGAGCCTGATGGCCAACTGATGGGCAGAGTGAATGGAATTTTATGTAAGAAGTGGCAAATAGTAAGAGCTGGAGGGGTCGGGAACTCCACAAGGAGAGCAACAGAACAAGATAATTTGAATACAGGGAACTTCCCAGAAAATCATACTCCAACCAAGGATTATTTGTGGAGATGACCTGGAACCCCTGCACAGGTGTAGCCCATGGCAGTTCAGTGTCCAAGTGGGTTACATAGTAATGGGAAGAGGGACTGCCTCTGACATAATCTCATTGGCCTGCTCGTTGATCACTTCCCCCTGAGGGGGGGAGCAGCCTTACCAGGCCACAGTAGAGGACGATGCAGCCACTTTTGATGAGAACTGATAGACTAAGATCAGAAAGAAGAAGAGGAGGACCTCCCCTATCAGTGGACTTGGGGAGTGGCATGCATGCAGAAAGGGGAGGGAGGGTGGGATCAGGAGGGGAGGAGGGAGGGGCTTATGGGGGGATACAAAATGAATAAAGTGTAATTAATAAAAAAAAGAAGAAGAAGAAGAAGAAGAAGAAGAAGAAGAAGAAGAAGAAGAAGAAGAAGAAGAAGAAGAAGAAGAAGAA